TCCTTACAGTCTGTGGTCAGCTGGCTCTAAGGCAGAATGTCATGGCAGAAGGGCAGAGTAGAAGAAAAGCTGCTCATATGGCAGTCACCAAAGGAGAAAGATCAGGGAGAAGCTGAAGAAGGAGATACACTCTTCCAGGTCACCCCCCACTGGTCTGCTCCTTCCTACCAGACCTGGTCTCCAACAGCAAGTCAGCTGAATTTCCCCTGTGATTCAGTCACCTTCCCCAAACCCCACCTATGAATATATGAAGCCTTTGGAGGTCATTCTTGATCTAAACTGTAAACTCTGTCCCTGCTCGCAACAGATTCAAGTGTAGTTCTTTATGCAAAATAGATTTAGTCCATCATCTCTAAGATAAAATTGCTGAAGAGTCCAAAACTCCCTCTGAGACTCAAGGCAAACTCTTAGCTGTAATTCCTTGTAAAAGTCAGAATGAATTTTCTTCTGGCACAGGGTAAACATCCCCATTCTGAAGGAGGGAAAGCAGGGTATAAATAAGAATGGGACCAAAGCAACAGTGAAACCCAGCAGTGGAAACACTAAATCTTACAGGTCTGTGTCCAGCACTACACAGCAAAGATGTGAGTGCCAAAGGACTTAGGTGAGCCCCGCCCTGTGGTACTGCATGTTGTGGCCCTCACTGCTTCTTTTAGGGTGGCTCTGCTCACTACCTATGACTTTCCCAGACTTTCATGTTCCTAGATTTTCCAGTTTCTGGGGTTTTCACAGTATGTTTGGCTTCACTCTTAACTTTTCACTTACTGACCTATCAGGGCATACTGTTTCACAGAAAAAAATACATAATACATAGCAACCCAGTTCACATAAATCACAACAAAAATTTCATGCAACAGTGAAATATGTACTCTATTTTCTATCCTAGTTTATTCTTTTCATTCTAGTTTATCTTTTAAAAAGGTGCTAGTTGCTGTACACTTAAATGCGTGGTTCTCGGCCATTGGCAGCTTCCCCTGAAGCAGTTAACAATATTGGGATATTTTTCATTATTATGACAGGGTAGGGTTACTAATACTGAGTGGGGAAGAGGCCAGAAATGCAGCTAAATGTTCGATGATAGATAGGACAGTCCCCAACAACAAATTTATCTGGTTGTCTTAGTTACTTTTCTCTCATTGCTGAGGCAGAATATCTGACGCCAAAATTAGGGAAGGAAAGATTTATTTTTCTTACAGTTTTATAGGTTTCAGTTCCTATGCAGCTGGCTCTAAGGCAGGGTGGCATGGCTGAGGGGCAGTTGTTCATGGCAGCTGCAAAAAGGGCAAAAGAGTGTAAAGGGTGAAAGAGGGGAAGCGTGCCTCCACTCAGCCATTACACTGTGTGTCATCTCCACCTCTGGGTGGGCGTAGCACTCACATCACCAATCCCAGCAGTAGACAATGAGCCAGTCACAAATGCTAGATTCACCACATCCACGATTGCATGAGACTTGGGGGGAGGAGCACATCAGAACACAAACCATAACACTGATCCAGTGCTAATATATAGTGTCAAGATTGAGAAACCCTACACTGCATTGATGATTCTCATTTGTCAAATGAACAGATGAAGGTCTTCATATTGATGGGAACAGGTGCAGGAGAGGGAGAGCACACGGCAGCCAGGAAGAGAACTAGAGACTGAGAAGGGGCCATGCTTAGGCTTTAATGGCAAGTTGCTCTTGAGAGAACAACTGAGGCCTCAGGCGAGTACCTTAATTCCTCCTGAAGCGGCATCCCAAATGACTAGGCCACTAGGCCCTAAGTCTTGTTTTTTTTGTTTTTTTTTTGTTTTTTTTTTTTTTTTTGAAGAGAATAAAACCAAATGAGACAAAATAAAATAGAGTCAATCAAAGCAAAAGGATCAACATGGTACATGACCTAAAAACAAAATACAAGGAGATCAATAATGGTTACCATAATGCCTCTTGTTATCTTCAAAAGAATTGCCCATATCATCAGGCATAATAAAATTGAACAAAACAGTACAGAACAAAATCAATAAAAACAAAACACTAGAGACATTATAAGACTTCAAAAGAAGATAATAGTCAAACCAGAATGACTATCCAGACACATAGTTCAGTGATGAGAATGTGTCTGGATTCAATCTCCAGTATCAAAAACGAAAAAGAAATTTTCTTTTGTCTGAAAACAAGTCTGTCATTCTTGAAGCTGGCTTTCCATAAAGTAAACAGACAGTATCCAAGGTTTTTACAGTGATGTTACATGGGTGGCTTATATTCTAATTTCCAGTAGAATCATCAGTTTTGTCTAGTGTACGCTTTCCATCTTTTGAGTCATGTCCAGAATTGCTTGTAATGTTCTGTTTACAGCATTTGTGCTTTTTCTAGATTTTTCTTCCAGACTTTTTCAACTGCTACCTATTACGCAGATCCAAAACTGCTTTCACAATTTTAGACATGACCCCTCTCCTTTCTATCAGTTGTATCAGTCTGTTTTTTGTTGCTACAAAAACAAAATCTAAGGCTGGGAAACTTATACAGAAAAAGGGTTGATTGAGTTCACATTCTAGGAGGGTCAGGGCTCTGGTGAGGATCTTGTGGTGCAGGATATGATGGTAGTGGAGGCGTGTGCGGGAGGGAGCAATTGCACATGGTGAGACACAAGGCCAGAGACCTAAACTCTTTCTTTCTCTCATTTTTTTCTTCCTTCCTTCCTTTCTTCCTTCCTTTCTTCCTTCCTTCCTTCCTCCCTCCCTCTCTCTCTCCCTTTTCATTGCATTGTTTTCAGCTCTGGCTATACATTCATTAGAATCACATAAGGAAGTTGATTTAACAATTCTGAGATTTTCTGGTGACTAATAGTTTTAAAAATATATCTTAAAAACAAAGGCAGATAAAGTGGGACATCGCTGCAATCCCAGCCCTCAGGAGGCTAAAGCAGGTGGATTAGTTTAAGTTCAAGGCAAGCCTGAACTGTAGCCAGAGCTTGACTCAAAAAGTCAAGACAGGTCTCATGCCTGTTGCATATGGCCACAGCAAACATTTAGTCTTAATTTCTTGTATCTTTTTTAAAATAAAAAGCTACTTGTTAACCTAATTGTTAACCAGTATAATCTTTATTCAATTTTTAGTTTACTTTTGTTTGGTTACCCTGTGTTTTAAATGTTTGTAGTTAAAGATGGGTAAATAAAACCAAGTTATTAGATATTACTTCAGGTATAAAATTTTATTATATAATTGAGATTATCACATACTGTATATTTTTAATTCCCCTACCCTGCCTTCATATTTACAAAAGTTTTGTTTCTTTTTTTTCCCTTTGCTCAATTTCTTTTGCTTTTCCCTCCTTTCCTTTCCTCATTACCTTTCCCTTGTTCCCCTCCATTTGAATATGTTCTTCCTGTTTCACAATATCTAATATACATGTTCTACTATGTTTACACTTTTAGTTTCTCACACCAGAGAAATAATGTGATATTTATACATGGATCCCGTTTATTTTACTTAAATGTATGGTCTCAAGGTGCATATCCATTTATCTAGGAATGTCTCGAGCGTATCCTTCTTTATGGCAGAGTGGTACTCTGGTGTATAAAAAGAACCTGTATCTTCTTTATCCATTCACCAGTTGGTGGGCATTTGGGCAGTTTCCAAAATTTGGCTATTATTAATTGTGCCACTATAAACATGGGTGTATATATATTGCTGTGGTATGGTGATTTTAATTCTTTTGGTAAGATACCGAGAAGGGAAGTACTAGGTCAAATGGGACCTCTTGTGCTAGTCTTTGGAGGAATCTCCACAGTGATTTCCACAGTGGTTGTACCAGTCTGCACTCCCACCTACAGTAGACAAAAAAGGTTCCTTTTTCCTCATAGTCCTGCCAACATTTGTTACTTGTTAATGTCTTAATAGTAGCCATTCTTTCTGTGATGAGACGGAATTTCAGTTTGTTTTAATTGCATCTCTCCAATGACAGTGATGTTAATGCTTTTTTTTTTCCATATATTTGTTTATCACTACTATCATCTGAGAAGTGTCTATTCATTTCAGATGCCCATTTTTGGACTAGGTCTTTCAATTTGGAGGATCTGATTTTTAAAAAAAAAATTTTTATGTAGTCAGATATTAGCCCTTTTTCTGAGTAACAGCTGGCAAATATTTTTCCCCACACTGAGTTATCTCTTCACTCTGTTAGTGGTTTTTCTTGCTGTGCAAAAGCTTTTTAATAAGTTGAGATCCCAGTTGTTGATTCTTTGTGATCTTCATAAAGCTTTTGCCTACACTGATGTCTTCAAGAGTTTTACCTAGTGTATCTTCCAGCAGATTTAGTGTTTGTTTTAATACTTAGATCTTTGATCCATTTCTACGTTAGTGCATGGTGAAAGTTAGAGGTCCAGTTTTAATCTTTGGCATTTGCAGAGCCAGTTTTTCAAGCACCATTTATTAAAGAGACTATCTTTCTTTCAGTGAAGGTGTTGGGCACGTTTGTCAAAGATAAGGTGGCTTAGAGTATCTGGAGTTATTTCTGCATTTTCTGATTTCAGCACATTTTTTAACCTGCATTCTAACACAGCATGCTAGCACTGTCTGGAACCCAAACTACTTGGAAAGGGTGAGGCAGGAGGATCACAAGCTCAAGGCCAACCTGGACAATTTATTAGCAAGACTTGTCACAAAATAAAGTATGAAAAAAGAGCTGGAGATGCAGCTCAGTGGTACAGTACTTGCCTAGCCTGAGGCTCAGTACTGGAAATGGAAAAAAAAAAAGGTGCTGCATTCTGGTGAGCCCATGTTTCTCTGCCCTGGAGGAAATGAAATTATTCTTGTTTTGACTACATACTTAGCAGGTCACAGATTGAGGCTAGCAGAGGATCAGAGTAGTTTGCAAAGATGACCTTCCTTGGGTTCCCGCACTCGGAGGATTAGCTTTTCATGTTGGAAAGAGTTCCGTACTGACTGGGGATTTTTGAATGTGGATTTGAAGATCTGTAAAATTTCTTCCAAAGCTAAATATCTTTTTATCTGCCAACAGGTACAACTGTAACGGCTTTAAGATTATTTAAGAATCTGCCTGTAAGAAAGCAGTTTTACTCAACTGCTAAAAAATGTAAAGATGAAATAAAAAAGGTCCAGGATCTCCTCATAAGCTATGGTATCATTAAACCTGACTTAAGGATTCTTTTTGTACATAATAAGGTGAGCATTCTTGTTATTTGATAAGAATTCTTTTGGTGTGTGATATAAAGGACAATGTGGTCCATCCATATGGGTTAGATAAATGTTAATGACTGACACCCCTCCCATAACCCCAGCTCCCTGGGTTATAAACCTGATGAGCAGGGTGGTACTAGGACCTCGAGCCTTTGGAAGTGGTTAGATCATGAGACCAGAGTCCTCGTGATTGGGGTCAGTGTCCTTAGAACTGTCTTCTCTCTTCTATCATCTGAGGACATGTGAAGAAGTACCATTTGTGAACTAGAAAGTTAGTCCTCACTAGATACCAAGTCTGCTAGTTCCTTGATCGTGGATTTCCTAGCCTCCAGAACTTCGAGAAGTAAGTTATGTTGTTTACAAGATACCCAGTTTATGATATTTTGTTACAGCAGCCCAAAGACAAGCTATGTCTCCTTTTATCAAAAATTTAGTCTACATTTATTTATTTTTATCTTCATCAAATGAAGAGCATCTTTAATTAATCATCTACTGCATGAAATCTAATTTTACCTATATTGTTGGCTAAGATCAGTGATTTCCCAAAGGACTTTTTATGCAAGAAGTGTTTGAGTGACTCCTTTCATCAAATGCAATGAAAGATTCTGAAAATAGGAAAATGAGTGAGTCTTGTTCTGTTCCTTTAAAGAGTTCATAATTTGGGAACATTCGTTAGTTTCTATTGTTTTTTTTTTTTTTCTTTTTCTTTGAAACAGTACTAACTGTTCATTAAAACTAACAGTATGGTTAGTTTTAACACCACTCTATTCCACTTCTTCCATTTCCAGAGCAGGACTGTTAAAGGAATTCATCACATTGTTTGAATCTTAGGGGGAATAAAAGATTTAGGTGGTTTCTGATATTCTGTTTTCCCCCAAACTCTGTGCAAGCACCTTGAAATATGTATTGGAGGGGAACAGAACCCCACACAGTGGCGTGGAAGCTTGCTGAGGAGTAGGAGAGTAACATTTAATGAGGAGCTATACGATGCCGGGGTTGCTCCTGTAGTAACAACCAAGTGGAGTAGATTTTAGGTCACTTTTACCGTTGTCCCCTGAACTAAATTCAGAGAACTTTAGTGTTACACAACTAATGAATTGTTGAGATTACATTTGAAACTTAGCATGCCTTGGAGAGCACAGGTTCTTTACACTCCATGTTTTCTTCCTGTTTTAATACCATATTAGGTTTATATCCCCTTTTTCAAATTTCAAAATACTTAGAATAAGTTTGTTAGTTATAACTTTGTGATAGACACTATTAACTCTATTTATATGAGGAACTTGAAACAGGGCAATCAAAATTAAGAAAAAAATCATGTTTTAGTATGCAATGCTACTTGTGTCACCCTATTTTGATCCAGTTTTCTTTCTACTCATGTCTTTTTACTTACTAATATTCTTCTAGCCAGGTGTATTGGCACATTGGTGTAAGCCTAGCACTTTGGAGACTGAGGCAGGAGGATTGCTGCAAGTTCAGAGCCAGCCTGGGCTATGTAGTGAGCTCAAGACCTTCACTACAAAGCAAGAACATGCTATCAGGGTCTTGGCCTAACCCCAGTCTCCTAAATGAGGGGACAGTGAATGGCTCAAATAAAAGAGACAAGTATGCTTGTAGGGCTCCAGGAGAATCAAAACCCTCAAAGGGAATCTGAGATTCCCTGAGAGTTGAGACAAAGGACTTCTCCAGGTGGCTTATATTTATTTGATTTTTAAACAAAGGAAGGGGGTACTAAGGCAAGTCTGGGAACTAAGCAGGACCTTTGGAATTAGTTCCAAGACTTCTTCAAGCAGGAAATTTTGCCAGTGAAGAGAACTGTCTTATCTCTAAGGTTGGAAGCTTTATTGCTCTGAAATAGGGGGTGTCAGCAGCCCATGTCCTTGGTTGCCTGGCTATAGTTATATTGACTTCAGAGAACCATGCATATGTTCTTTTTCATCACAGCCAGAGGTCCCTGTGTTCAGCAACTGAACCCTGTACAGTTTTGTCCCCAACACCCTTTCTCAAGAAAAGAAAAAAAATTGAGTTTTATATCATCAAGCCATGGTGAAATGTTTACAAACAAAATCTTTGGTCCTCTTAAAGAAAAAAGAAAAAATTAAGAACAGCCAGCCACCTGTTCCTTTTGGCATGGAGCTCAACCAAATGATACCTCATGATCCTCTTCCAGCTCTATCATGCTATGATTCCTCAGCATGTTGATGGATGGAGACTCACCCTGCTAATATAAATAACCCTGTGACTCTGTGAAGTTCAGTGTGCCCAAGGCAAGACTGTGGTCAGGAGAAAATAACGAAAGGAAAAACATGAAGAAGGCAAAATACCAAGAGAAACGGGAATCGTATGTTTGTAAAAGAAAAGTGAATACAACTAAAAAGTTTTGAATGAGGGAAAACGGAATAGACAAAAAAAGAATTATTTCCTCACATAATGAAAACAAATATATCAGAAGTACTTGAGATAATATGAGGAGATCCACTGAGGGTGGTGGATCCTTGAGCCTACGGCTTCCTGAGGGCTGCACAGGAGGGGGAAGGGGGCCACCCGCCTAGCCGGCCAGATCAGCTGAGTCAACCCTGGAGATCAGTGGGGTGAGAAATGTCACAGCCACATCGCCCCCACATCCAGTACAAGGGCATCTTATTCCTTAAAGTCAAATGTACATCTTCTTCAAAGTTTGAATCATTTTCACAATCAGTGTTAAGACTATCAGTGTAGGTATTTTCTTTTGAAAACAGAAAGCAGTCTTTTTTAGTATATTTTATTTTCAGAGGACACTATATCTGAACTTACATTGAGCAGATGCAAGTGCCTTCATAGCTTTCAGTAATTTCAGATTTGTTTTAAGTCCTGGAGAGTATACTGAGAATGTTACACCATGACAGTAAGATTATGAAAAGTCTTAATAGTAATATTAAATGTTACTACACAAGGAGATCATGTACTAAAGTAGAAATGAACTTTTTTGTTAGTATGGATTATTACTGTATTTTAAAATTTATTAGTCCTGTAAGTGCCTTAAAAAAGTTAAAATATATCGTTAAACTTTCCAACGCAGTATTGACATGTTATCATAAATCTCTTTGAATATTGAATTCTACTTGACTGTTCACCTTTTTCTTTCAGACGTGTTTATTTTCATTATTCTTTATGTGCTTTTATGAAGAAGTTTTTTCTTTGTTTAAAATTTAAACATGACAATATGGATGTCTATTTTTTTCTGCATTAAAAACAATCATATTGCATATACTATGAGAAGTACTATTGCTATTTTGATAACTTGGATTAGATAGTGTTCTTCTTTTTATGAAGGTTTAACCTGCCAAGACATTCTTCGAATACTGATAATGTTGATGTTCTTGCCAGTATGGTTATGTTAGAAAGAGGTATTTTCTTCTTTCATCACCATGTTCCTTGAAAGCATATTGAATAATGAGACAGCCAAAGGAAAATAATTTATAAGTTGATTCAGTGAGTTTATTTAAAGTAGATATTATTTGGAGAATTGCTAGAGCTATTTCTTAGAAGAGCCCTGCAGTTTTCAAGTTGTAATAATTGAATCTGTGTGAGGTCCTGCTATATCTGTTTTCATGTATCCAGTAGTTATCTCCCAGAATTAGAAGTTATCCTCAATACGATAGTATGTTAAACCAATGTAGTATTTTAGTTATATTACATGCATGAAAGTAATTTCATAGACTGTTATTTGAGTGCATAATCTTAATTTTGCAAGTCCAAATAATAGCTACTCCTGAGTTTGATAAGTGTTGATTTTGTGAATACTTTCTTAAAATATTGTTTGTAGTTTAAAAATTGTTTTGAATTTCTTTGCTGGGTGTAGTGGCACACCCATAATCCAGCACCCAGGAAGCTGAGACCGGGGGAATCACAAACTCAAGGCCAGCCTGGATTGTATAGTGTGACCCACTCTCAAACAAACAAAAAGTTTCAAAATTTTGTTTTGTTTTGCAGTACTGGAGACTGAATCCAGGACCTCACATATGCAAAGTATGCACTGACCACTGAGTTATATTCCCCAACTCTGAATTTTGTTTTAATGATTAAGGACGCACTGGTATTGCAAAAGGTGAATTGGATGTCATTCATGTAAAGACGTTTTAGGTGTTACACAAGAGGGCGACATGATTTAAAGAATGGCTTCCCCTCTGTGGGGATTTAAAGAGTGGCTTATGGGGGCCCACTTGTATTGGTGTGTATGTTTGGAGGTCTGGAGGGATGAAGACAAGATTTTCAAGGGTTGAGTATCTCTGATTTCAGTGACTGTGGAAGAGGCAGGCCTTACACAGAAACCAAAACCCAGAAATTTGGCCTTAGGGTTTGACAGTGAACGTGATGATTCCATCTCCTAATATAACTTTCCAAGTCTCTAAGATGATAACTAAAGATCTGGGTTGTAAAGAACAACCGAGATATAACTGGCACCTTATAATTTGTATTCAATGTACTCATGTATTCTTTGTTTTGTTCTTCATTAGGCCTTTTGGCTGTTTTACTTAAACAGTTTTGATGTTCCAGCTCTGTTGCAGCTGTGCTATAGGGAATCAGGGAAAGGCATGTTGTTAGAGTCGGACCCGTGTTGCAGGATGCTCCCCCTTGCCCCATCCAGGCTGGGGAGGCACTGTACCCCAGAGATGCTGGGTCTACCCCAGAGATTCTGGGTCAGGACTCTGCCTCAAAGGCCTCTTCCATGGACAGAAATCATTCTGTAGTGCCAGTCTGTAAAGTTTGGGTTAGTTTTATTTTTGTTCCTTTTAAATTGATACAGGTAGACTTCAACCCCCTGCCCCCAGTAAAATTTAAAGTTAAGTTAGAGGTTCTCAGTTGTGATTTTTGTTTGGTTGGTTGCTCATTTTAGAGGGTTTTGTTCCTTTTGGTCTTGTTGTTGTTTGCTATTTGTAAAGTTGCAATAATAATTTATACTAAATGCCTCATTTTGTTACATTTATTTCTTTTACTTTTCACCT